GTCCTTCCCAACCCACCCCTTGCTTACCTTTCCAGATTTTTAAGCTCAGCCCCCTCCATCCCCTCAATGATACCGAGATGCTGTCCTTGTTCTCAGCCCAGGACTTTCCTTCTCCTTTCGGATGCTTTCACTTTCTGGCTCCTGGGCCAGGAATGCTTCTCCTCCCCTGTTTTCCCTTGAAGATTCAGCTCAAATACCTTCTCCAAGAAGCCTTCCCTGATTACCCTTCCTGTTAGTACCTTCCCTCTGAGATCAGGATCCACATACACAGTGTGTGAATATGTGTGTAGATATATACGTAAAATAATAATAAGAGCTAACATTTATATAGCATTTACTAGGTGCCAGGCACTGCTAAGGGCTTTATCTTATTTGATCCTCACAACAACCCTGGGAAACAGGTGCTATTAAAAAGTATCTCCATTTTACAGATGAGGAAACTGAGGCAAATAGGTTAAGGGACTTGCCCAGAGTCACACAGCTAGCACACATCTAGGGACTGACTTGAGCTCAGGTCTTCCTGACTCCAGGCCCAGCTATCTAGTGCACCACCTAAATGCACATGTGTATATACATGTACACATATACATATTAGGTATCTATGACACCTCATTCTTACATGAAAGTGACCCCAAGTTCCTTAAAGCTCTGCCAGCACCTCTGGGAAGGTGTGCACAGACAGTCCCGGGGTGGGATGGGAGGCTTATGCCCACTGAGGACCAGTCAGATTCTGGGTCTCGAGGCCAAACACCTGGTGAATTCCAGGCTTCTTGCAGGGGTTGTAATTTAGGTCAGAGAAGGCAGATGAAGACGCCGTCCTTTGGCATACTGAAGGATAGGAACACCCTTGACTGTATTAGAACACAATTTATTCATCACATGAGCCTTTAGAAGAGTTGATTTTTGTGCTGCCAACACAGCGAAGTCCTGGCTATCTGAGTAACTTCACTTGCCCTTCTTTCCTCCTCCCCCTGCCCTGCTCCAAGTAAATGAATCCTGGCACTGGTCTTGTGGCCTTTCAACAGCTCGGGGAAGGCTAGGGGGCAAGCAGAGGGACCCAAGAGATGTGTGAAGTCTCAGGAACCCAGAGCTAGTGACCAAGAAAACAAAGAACAAAACCTGAGAACACTCGTGATGATTCCTCCAAGAGAAACATTCTTCTCAGTCAGGATGTTACTCTCATGGTCACATCCAAGTACACTCAGCTCCTTCTGTAGGTCAGTCACCTTTGAACCTTTGAGGGAGAGGTGATTGCTCCAAGGTGGGGGGAAGGGCAGGAGAAGATAGCCTAATTAGCACTGCTGGGGGGGGGGAGGGAGAGAGAGGGAGAGAGAGAAAGACACACACACAGAGAAAGAAAGAGAGAGAGAGAGAGAGAGAGAGAGAGAGAGAGAGAGAGAGAGAGAGAGAGAGAGAGAAAGAGAGACAGAGATAGAGACACAGAGAGAGACAGAGAGATTGACAGAGACAGAGAGCTTCTCTCTCCCTTGGTGCTCCACACAGGCAATGGAGCTAATTAAAAGAAGAATCAATATATAGTTTGGGTGCTTCAACTCTGCTGAGGAAGCCCAGGAAAAGAAATGAAAAACTGTTTCAAAGGTCAGGAAACAGTGAAGCAAATGGATTCAGTTCTGGCCAGAAGGGGCAGGAAACTGAGACCCAGATATGGGAAAGGATTTGCCCTGGTTCATGAAACTGGTTGGTGGCAGAGTGGGCAGTCAGCTCCCCTGCCTCCTGGTCCAGTTCTCTCTGTCTCACCTGTCTTCCCAGTCTTTCTCCTCTCCTTTCTTCTCTGTTTGTCTCTCCCTCCCTCTCTTCCTTCCTTCCTTCCTTCCTTCCTTCCTTCCTTCCTTCCTTCCTT